TTGAAGCTGTGTGGACTTCAACTCCCAAGCCTGGGAATTCTGGGCGTTGAAGAAGTCCCAACACAGGTTTTAAAGTTGCCAAAGTTGAGAAAAGGGGGGGGGCTCTGGAGAGAAGAAGCAAAGAGATATAGACAAACTGTAACTTGGGGAAGGGCTGGGGGGGGGATAAAAAAGGCGGGATCGGCGTACAGGGAACGTTTTTCTCCATCTCATTCATATCATCATCTAGTTGCCGTCCGGATGAAGGAAACCCGGCCAAAGGCACCAGATTGCAGGAGGCTGAGCTTATCTGGCAGCAATCCCGAAACCGACTCCTGGCCCTTCGCCTCCTACGGTTAAGCCTCCGGGCCGCCCTCCCTCTTGCTTTTACCGGGACGTTTAAGAAGCGACTGACGGGAGGCGGAGAGGCGCTCCGAGCGAAGGCGGGCCGCGGAATGGAGCCCCGCCGAGCCTTGCCGGGGAAGGCGAGAGATGCAGCCGCCTGGTGCTACCCAGGCTCGGTAACGGTTGCCCCCGTGGCCGCGTTCCAGCGGCGGCCCCTCCCTCCGTGCAGCCTTCCTCCGAAGGCTGGGCGAAGCCGAGCACCGGAAGCGCAGCGCTCATGTTAATTCATCATGAATGTGAATTAATGAGCCATCAGTGTTAATGCAGCCCAGGATTGCAGTCGGTTTTTTGTGGGTATGTGGGGGGCAGCTGCAATGTGCTGCCAAATGCGACCCTAGGCTGCATGAACAGAGGGATAGAATCAAGACCAAAGAAGTGATGCTACCGCTTTTTATAGTTGTAATAAAGTAACAACTAAGTAACAACTATTCTTTTTTTAAGAATAGAATAGAATTACTTTATTGGCCAAAGGTGATTGGACACACAAGGAATTTGTGTTTGGTGGGTATGCTCTCAGTGTACATAAAAGAAACATTCCTCAAGAATCATAAGGTACAACACTTAATGATAGACATAGGGTACAAATAAGCAATCAAATCATATTAGGAAACAGTCAATATAAACCGTAAGGATACCAGCAACAAGGGTACAGTCATACAGTCATAAGTGGGAGGAGATGGGTGATAGGAATGATGAGAAGATTAATAGTAGTGCAGACTTAATAACTAGTTTGACGGCGTTTTATTTATTTATTTTTTATTTATTTATTTATTTTAATTTGATTTATATGCTGCCCTTCTCCGAAGACTCAGGGCGGCTTACAATGTGCTCAGCAATAGCCTTCATCCTTTTGTATATTTATACAAAGTCAGCTTATTGCCCCCACAACTGGGTCCTCAACCAATTTATTTATTGGTTCGATTTATATGCCGCCCTTTTCCGGAGATTCAGGGCGGCTTACAATGCGTTAAGCAATAGCCTTCATACTTTTGTATATACCTGCTTAGTAGGGCTTTCGGGGGGCCCCAAGCGGTGTTTTTTTTATACAAAGCCAGTTTATTGCCCCCACAAACTGGGTCCTCATTTTACCTACCACGAAAGGATGGAAGGCTGAGTCAACCTTGAACCTGGTGAGATTTGAACTTGCAGTTATTGCAGGCAGCTGGTGTTACTTAACAGTGCTTTAGTTTGATGTGCCACCAAGGCGTTGAGGGAATTATTTGTTTAGCAGAGAGATGGAGTAGTGCAGAGGTGGGTTTCAGCAGGTTCTGACCAGTTCTGGAGAACCGGTAGCAGAAATTTTGAGTAGTTCGGAGAACGGGTAGTAAAAATTGTGACTGGCCCCACCCCAATCTATTCTCTGCCTCCCAAGTCCCAGCTGATCGGGAGGAAATGGGGATTTTGCAGTAATCTTCCCCTGGATTGGGGACGGAATGGAGATTTTACAGTATCCTTCCCCTGGAGTGAGGTGGGAACGGAGATTTTACAGCATCATTCCCCTGCCACGCCCACCAAGCCAACCCACAGAACCGGTAGTAAATTTTTTTGAAACCCATTACCGGAGTAGTGTATCCAGTTTCGGTCACTGCAATATGGGGGAAAAAATGTTGAGACCTTGGAAAGAGTGCAGATAAGAGCAACAAAGATGATTTTGGATGGGTGGGCACTGAAGGCTAAAACATACAAAGAACTTTTGCAGGAATTGGATATGTCTAGTCTAGTGAAAAGAAGAACTAGGAGTGACATGATAGCAAGAAGAACTGGGGTGACAAGATAGCGGTGTTCCAATATTTGAGGGGCTGCCACAAAGAAGAGGGGGGGTGTCAACCCATTTCCCAAAGCACCAGAAGGCAAGACAAGAAGTAATGGATGGAAACCGAACAAAGAGAGAAGCAACCTGGAACTAAGGAGAAATTTCCTGACAGTAAGAACTATCAACCAATGGAACAGCTGGCCTTCAGAAGAAGGCTTTTAAGAAGAGACCAGACAGCCATTTATCTGAAATGGTATGGGGGTAATGGGATTGGACTAGATGACCTCTGAGGTCCCTTCCAACTTTGTTGTTCTGGTGTGGCAGTGCCAAATGTGTGTGGAAGGTGTGTAGCAATGGTGAAAGACTACTTGGGATGCGCAGAGCTCTGAGTGTTAATGGGGTTGGGATGCCCAGAAGCAGAAGGGATTAAACCTTTATCCCCCACAATTTTAGATCTTGACAACATGGAATATCAGTGAGGGTTTTTTTTTTCCATTAGGTCAAGTGAAAATGAATTCAAGGCCAAGTGAATGCAACCCTCATTCCAGGTCTGTAAATCTATAGTAGTGTTGTCTTTTTATTATAATAAGATACTGCAATCTTCTTTTTCCAGAATCCAGTGTTCAGTGTTGTTCAGGGATTCCAGTGCTTTTCATCTAACCCAGGGTCCCCAAATCCGGCAGCTTTAAGACTTGTGGACTTCAACTCCACAAGTTGGAGAATTCTGGGTGGAGAATTCTGGGAGTTGAAGTCCACAAGTCTTAAAGCTGCCAAGTTTGAAGACCTCTCTGATCTAACCGATAAGCTCCAAATGTTTGGTATGAAAAACCAAACATTTGAAAAACCACATCGCATCAATATCTTTAAATCTTTTTTTTTTAAATAAAATGTTTTATTGTTTCCAAGGTAACAGAAAAAGAAGAAAAAGACACAAAGATACATATATTATCAAAACAAGGCATAACAGGTGCTTAAAAAAATCAATGAAAAAATACAACAGGAAAAAACTAAAATGTAGAATATATCGGTAGTTTTGACTTGCTAACTGGTCCTTTGTACTGTTTAAAATTACAACAGATTTTTTTAAAAAAGCTACTTAAGAGCCATCCTTGAGGTTCTGACTGCAGCCCTCCCTCACTTGATTGCATTTCAAGTGGTTGGCAAAACGGCTTGCAGCTTCCTCTGGTCACGTGACAACGATTCGTGAGGTATTTTTGTGGGTTTCCAGCAAAAAATGTCTATTGGATAAACAGGATTCATTTAAGAACCATGTGATTCACTTAACAACTCTGTAATTTGTTACATAACCATGGTAACTTGCTTTACAACCATGGTAAAAATGGCTGTAAAATCTGGTCCTATCCCATAATACATCAACATAGTACGCAGAGGTCTTCAAACTTGGCAGCTTTAAGACTTGTGGACTTCAACTCCCAAAATTCCGCAGCCAGCATAGCTGGCTGGAGAATTCTGGGAGTTGAAGTCCACAAGTCTTAAAGCTGCCAAGTTTGAAGATCTCTGTAGCACAGGGTCCATTGTGGTTGTAAGTCAAGGATTACCTGTAATATGTTGTTACAAAAGTAAGCCCGAATAAACTTGCTATTTATGAGTGGGTTGCCTATAAACATAGACTTTGTATGGATAAATATAATGAATAGTATTGAGGTAGTCCTCAATTTACAACCACAATTGAGCCCAAAATTTCCATTATTAAGCAAGGCACTTTTTAAATAAGTTTTGCTCCATTTTAGGACCTGTTCTGCCACAGCTGTTAAGCATATCAATGCAATGATTTTGCTTAACGGCTTATTAAGTGAAGCATGCAGTCATTACATTCGTGAACCTGGTTTCCCCCCCCCCTCGTTGACTTTGCTTATCAGAAGGTTGCAGAAGGAGATCACATGATCCCTGGACACTGCAACAAGCGCCCAAATTTTGATCACGTGACAGTGGGGATGCTGCAATGCTCTTAAGTGTGGAAACTAGTCATAAGTCACTTTTTTCAGTGCTGCTGTAACTTTGAACGGTCACTAAACGAATGGTTTGTAAGTTGAGGTCTACCTGTATGGAATTTATTTGTACAAAATACAATAGGTTAGAAAAAGCATGGTAGTTACACACACACTTGCATAGTGATTGCATTAGAACAGGGCTGTGAAACTCCCAGCCCGCGGGCCAGATGCATCACGTACTGGCCACGCTCACTCCCGGTTTAGCGAAGAGGGGGGGAAGTCCCGATACGTCACATGACGACACCATGACGACGTGAGTTTGATACCCCTGCATTAGATAGTTATATATAGAATTGTAACTGTTTGCTGTTGTAACGACATATTGTACATTAATATCTTTAAATATTCTTACTCTTTCTAATGCTTTGTAACAAACTTTATAACATTAAATCATATCAGGACAACGACTGCATAACCTTTTATCAGTTCATACTTCTAGCCAGTGGTGGGATTCAAGTAATTTAACAACCGGTTCTCTGTCCTAATGATTTCTTCCAATAACCAGTTTGCCAAACTGCTCAGAAAGTTAACAACCAGTTCTCCCAAAACTGCTTCTAGCCAAATGGAGCTGCTGGCCAACTTTTTCTAAACCTTTTCTTCTGGGTCCAATAAACATTAAAAATCATATTATAATAACAAGGAACCTGGTTAATAACTTAAGACAAGTTAACTATTGATTATTAATATAGAACATTCCATCTCTCCTTTGCAGAGTTTTTACAAACAACCAATATCAATCATAATAATATATTTGTCTAAAGAACTATAGATCTGGAAATTGTAAAGTACATTTTTCAATAATAATAATATTTCAAGAGTTGTAGACCTGGTAATAAGTCCGGACCAGACTATGAAATCAAAAGAAGCTTTAATCAAATCGCCTTTCTGTAGCTTAGGCAATCCAAATGCTTTTTGCAATAATAAACTCCAGATGGTTGAAAAGTTTTGTTGGCAATAAATTGAACTAAAGTGCAGTGTTATTAATCCATGAACTTTTATATGTACATAGATATGTGAGCTTTGTAAAATAGAATTAGACCAAAGGTATAAAATTCACGAACAAAGAATCAACATCATACTTCTTTATATGCCTAGTAGCCTTTAGTATTGGAAATACAACTGAATTTTGGCCAGAAGAAAGAACCAAGATACTGCCAAAGTATTAAAAAGTTAACATAGTCATATAGTTTTCATTTCCTCGGTTTTAAATTCCACAAAGAAAATAGAAGGGAAAACATATACTTAGTGATAAAACCGAAGATTGAGGAAGTTAAAATTTCCATTATCATGTAAAACTCATCAATGGCACAATTAGGTTTGTCCTTCCCAAATGCTAAAAATCCATTAAAGGTAGTAACAAAGGAATCTGTATATATCTCAGTCTTAAAGCAATGTTCATTTTTAACATTTATCTTTACCTATCTATGAAGTCATTTTTAATTATCACTTTATATCAATGTTGATGTGAGGCAGGGGCATATGTCAGGGCTGTCAATAATGTCAGAAAGTGATTTATTATATGGATCACAAGACCCAGTTTGGAGTAGTAGTTAAGGCATCATGTTAGAAATCTGAGTTCTAGTCTCATGCTGGATATCAAGCCAGCTGGGTGACCTTGGGCCAGTCACTTTCTCTCAGCCCTGGGAAGAAGACAATAGCAAATCACTTCTGAAGAAATCTTGTCAAGAAAACTGTTGACTTCTCTAGGCAGTCTCTGAGAACTGGACAAGTTCGAACAAAAGAAAAAAAAATGCATCGTATATGTTAAAAAGGGGGACAGCTTCGATCAACCATTTGTGCCTTATATTGACATCGGTGTTGGACACCCTTAATATGTTTTGATATAAAGCAGGGATTCCTTAACTTTTTGTTACCAAAAGGTTAAAATGCAGTGCTTTTCTATTCATAGGAGGTCCCAACTATCACTGTTTTAAATTTAAGGTCTGGTAATTCAATCTCTGGCTTCCAAAAAGGTCATGAGAAAAAAATACTCCATGAAGTAAGCTTAAATGCAACAGTGCACTGGAATAAAACGTGTATGCTGTGCCTATAGATAATACATCATTTGAATTGGAAACCACCTATTATCCCAACATACTATGCACATTTTTATATCAAGGTTTTCCCATATATTCACAGGTTTTCAGTGTGTAGAGGGATAATTCTCATTCTATGCATTGCACACAAAGTACAATCCATAACAATGGATTGAAAATGTTTTGCAGCCTGTAAATAACAAACAAAAATGTCATGTTTCCATTCTTGTGTGGCAACTAATAAAATTTGTAGCAAAATTTGACAGAAAAAATAGTGTTTAGCGTGTTTGCAATTTTTGTTACCTTTTATGCCTTATTTTATTTTATATGTTCTACTTTGTGGATTGTATCCTCTAGGTTTTATTTACTAAAACCAGGAGTGGGATTGAAAAATTTTAGCAACCGGTTCTCTGCCCAGTTGCTGGGTGGGTGTGGCCATGGGGGTGTGGCCTACTCAGCCTCCTGCACCATGGCGGGGGGGGGTCTTTTCACCCTTCCCAGGCTCCAAAGGCTTTTGTTGCGCCTCCGGGAGGGCGTAAACAGCCTCCCCTGGGCTCCGGTGGCCCTCTGGAGGCCGGAAATGGGCCCATTTCCAGACTTCCGGAACTTCAGAGAGGCCCATTTTTCACCCTCCCAGAGCCTCTGCACAGGCCCTGCACCTACCTCGCATCCAAAACGGACCACATGGAGACTCCTGGGAGGGGAGGGGCAGGCAGGGCCAGCCAGTCCTTGCAACTACCAGTTCGGCAAACCAGATATAAAATTAGCATCTGGTTTGCCCAAACTTGTCCGAACCGGTTGAATCACACCCCTGACTAAGACTTACTTGATCTGGATCACTGATCTGTAATAAAGAATTGGATTGGTATGGTTTGAATTGGACAGGTTATTTAAGCAACCTTTTGTGCAATTGTAGAGCAGTATGGAGTTAGCACTGAAGAAAATATATGGCAGTCATTAGGAAAACATGAATGCAGGAAAACAGGAAGGTGTACAAAAGATACTCAAGATTGCCTTGCCTAGAGTCTCTCTGATGTAAGAGAGAACAAAGAACTGCTGTTCAAGCTTTCGGGATTGTTATAGTCTAAATCAAGCTACATCTTATCTGTACATTGCCCAAAGTCAATGAGGGAGATGGGCAATTCCAAAATTTGATAAATAAAAATAAGCAATAATAAACACTATCAATAAAGTAGAGTTTTAGTATTTCTTGTGGTATCGTCACTAGTCCTGGTTTATCTCCAATGGCTTGGTTACACTTCATGATTATACTTCAGACCATGAATCGCTTACTATCCTGTTTGTTGAGAAATATGATTAATCTGGAATTAAGCATTTCAGAACCATTTAGTATCTGGAAAAGAATTAAACACACACAGTGGTACCTTGTTACTCAACTGCTTTGAAACTCATAGAATTTGGTACTCAATGCATTTTGACATGAACATTTTGTTCTGGTACTCATCATTTGTTTGGTACTCAACACACAAGCTAGAAGTTGTTGCTGTCAGCTGCCTTACTGGGAAAAATTTCTTTGGTACTCATTATTTTTGGTACCCATCATGCCTCCTGAAACCAATTAACAAGGAGTACCAAGGTATATATTTGATTATTTGAAAAATAACCTGAAAACCTATTTTTAAATGGTAGCATTTCCCTTCTAGGAATTATTTATGTTCGAATCAAGGATTAATTTTATTTGTGACATGATTGATTTTATTGCTATTTATTGATGGATCCATTCATTTGAATATAATTTTATTATCATTTAATGTTGTGAATCAGCATGGGCTATGTCAGGAGTATGCAGAAACAAATAAAATATAAATAAAATAAATGCCACCGATATTAAAGGAAGTCTCCAGACTTGTAAGCAGGAAATAACTGACATTTGATTTTCAGACTTTTTGACACGGAACCAAATAATATCTGCGGGTCAGTGGTGGGTTTCAATTTTTTTTACTACCGGTTCTGTGGGTGTGGCTTAGTGGGTGTGGCGTGGCTTGGTGGGCATGGCAGGGAAAGGATACTGCAAAATCTCCATTCCCTCCCCAATCCAGGGGAAGGTTACTGCAAAATCCCCATTTCCTCCTGATCAACTGGGAGTTGATAGGCAGACAATAGATGGGGGCGGGGCCAGTCAGAATTTTTACTACCGGTTCTCCAGAACTGGTCAGAACCTGCTGAAACCCACCTCTGCTGCGGGTATTATAAAGGCAAACATCTTGGCTGAAGGCTGAGGTTTTTCTTGTTTGTGAGTTCAAAAGAATACAGTTATGAGAGAAATAGTCTTCTTTTCTCATTCTCCTCTTTACATGATTCTGGATTGGACTAACTGTATTGGACCCTTGACAACTTCATGGACTTAAGAGAACTTTTTCATGAAATGTAGCTTCAAGTAAGAAATAATAAGGAAAATGATGGTCATGCAAGCCAGTGCCACATGGTTCTGCCATAACCCCCAACTAGTTGCATCGATCCCTTGGCTTTCCAGATATTGTTCTCCAGTGCACCTAGAAAGAAACACAAGCGGAGATTTTTAGTCATCAGAAGCTCCACCACAGATGTCCCAAACTTGTGTGGTACCAATAGAGGAGAATATTTGTAGTTCAGGGTTGAAAATGAGGAGTCCTCTTGGTGCTCTCTGAGCTTGGTTGTTTTCATGCAGATGTTTCATAAACCAAAATTAGGTAACGTCATCATCAGTACATCTCATGGTGTTACCTAGTCTGGGTAATGAAACATCTGCAAGAAAACAACCAAGCTCAGGGACCACCAAAGGATCCTCAGTCTTGTGTGGACCAAGGACTGCGACATGGAGGTGGCTTATTTAATTTAATTTAATTTAATTTAATTTAATTTAATTTAATTTAATTATTATTTAATTTAATGTAATTAATTTAATTTAATTTGCCGCCTATTCACCCATGGTGACTCAAGGTGGCTTACAGAATATAAAATCTCATTTAAAACAATAGAACTAATAAAAAGAATCAAAAAAATTAATAATACAATACAATACAATACAATACAATACAATACAATACAATACAATACAATACAATACAATACAAAATATAACATAACGACCAGTTCGTTCTCACACGGAGGGACTACTCAGGGTACCGTCAGTCAAATTATGCCAACTGGCGACTCCCAGGGGGAGGGCCTTCTCTGTGAGGGCCCCAACCCTTTGGAATGAACTGCCCCCTGAGATACTAAATATCCCTGATCTCCGTGCTTTCCGCCGCGCCCTCAAAACCCTGATGTTCCAACAGGCGGGGCTAAACATATGAACATGTGAATGTTTTTAAAATGTTATCTAATTTTAGGTTCTATTTAATTGGGTCAAACTATGTTATAATAATAATTTTAATTAGCAATTTTATGATGTTTGTGTATCTATATTTTTCTTGACTGTACACCGCCTTGAGTCCTACGGGAGAAAGGCAGTATAGAAATATAATAACATAACATAACGTAACGTAACGTAACGTAACGTAACGTAACGTAACGTAACATAACATAACATAACATAACATAACATAACATAACATAACGTAACATATATATAACATAACATAACATAACATAACATAACATAACATAACATAACATAACATAACATAACATAACATAATAGAACATAATATAATCACCCCCACCCCAGCAACAGCCAATCACACGAGCCATTCCGCTCTGGGTTCCCCAGGCCCGCTGGCAGAACCAGGTCTTCAGCGCCTTCCGGAAGAGTATTTATTAGAGTGGGGGCCGTTCTAATCTCTGGGGGAATGACGTTCCAGAGAGAGGGAGCCACCACAGAGAAGGCCCTTCTTCTGGGTCCCACCAGGTATATCTCCCTCGGGGATGGGACCCGCAGCATTCCCTGCCTCCCCGCTCTGATGGGTCAGGCAGATGTGACCGGCAAGAGACGGTCCCTCAGATAACCTGGTCCCAAGCCATGAAGGGCTTTAAAGATACAACCAGCTCCTTGAATTGCACTTGGAGCCAATGCAGCTCCTGCAGGAGAGGTGATACATGTGCACACTGGGATCTGCACAAAACCATGCAGGCCACTGCATTTTGCACCAACTGGAGCTTCTGAATGCTCTTCAAGGGCAGCCCCATGTAAAGCATGTTAGAATAATCAAGATGGAAAGTGACTAGGGATGGATGTGGATTGGTTTGAGGGTGGCCTTAAAACTATCACATAATAATATTGTAAAATCAGGCTAGTCATGTGATGAGCCACTTAATGACTGACATGATTTACAACTATAATTCTAAATTCAATTGTGGTTGTAAATTGTTGGTATTATCAGTGCAAAGTCTTTACATAGGAAAATATATTCTGGGGGACCTGATCAGACTTAGATGCGTTCTCCTCCTCATTCCTACTTTAAAGGATTCAAGGCTTCATTAACAATAATATTAAAAGGATAAAATGTCATTTCTTTCACTTATAATATCTCGTACCAAGACTGCCTCAAGTCTTTAGTACTAGGCAGAGCTGAGAAAAGCAGAGATCCATACTTACATCTGAATTGTGCTAACTTCTGTGCAATTGGAGCTCCCGTTTTCAATGGTATGGAAATTGCAGAAGTCAAGACCCACAAATTCATTAATCTGCAATGCCTTTGAAGATGAGAAAACATAACACAATAGTGTTTTTGAAAACATACACACAACAAGCACTATATGCACAACAATATGCGTATGCATTCAGAAGTATTGCATATTACGTGTGTTAGACTTACAATATACCCACTTCTGTTAAAATTGCCCCTTTGTCGACTCTGAAGATGACATATATGTAGCCATTTTTTATTGTCTATTCTTTTCTTAGCTTTTAGGTTTGCTAGTAAAGGAATTTAGTATTACTTCAAGCTTGCCACTCTCTTAACTGTTGAGAGGGGGGGTTATAGAGATAAAGGGGGAATTGGGTGAAATGCTCCTGGTTCAGACTGGATCGCCCGATCCGGTAGCGATGGCAGCCAATGGTTCGGAGAACCGGGAGCAAAAATCCCTGCCCCCCCATGCCCAGCTGAGCAACGCAATCATTAGAGGCTCTTTTTTTTACTTTGAAAAGCATTTTTTCTACAATCTCTTCGGCCGAAAAAAATGCTTTTAAAAGTTTTTTTAAAAAGCCTCTGATGATCACGCGGCTCAGCTGGGATCGTCAGAGGCTTTTAAAAGCATTTTTTTCTGCAACCTCTTCAAGCTGAAGAAGTTGTAGGGAAAAAAATGCCTTTAAAAGCCTCTGGCGATCCCAGCTGAGTTGCCTGATTGTCAGAGGCTTTTAAAAGCAATTTTTTCTGCAACCTCTTTGGCCGAAGAGGTTGTGGGGGGGAAAAATGCCTTTAAAAGCCTCTGGTGATCCCAGCTGTTGCCTGATTATCAGAGGCTTTTAAAAGCATTTTTTTCTGCAACCTCTTAAGGTTGTAGAAAAAATGCTTTTAAAAGTTAAAAAAAAAAAGTTGGCCACACCCACCCAGTCACATTACCCCCACCCCCCAAGCCATGCCCACAGAACCGGTAGTAACAAATTTTACATTTCACCACTGGGGGGAATGTTATGTCTAGGTGGCATTCCTTCCCGTGTGAACAGAGAAGATGCCTGCAGCTGGAGGAAGGTGGAGTTGGGAGTCACCAGACTGATGGACTGAGAATTGACTGGAGATTGTGACTCTGTGGGGAAGTTTCAAACTTCAAACTTTTGCTTTTTATTGGGTGTAATTCCGGATCTGGGTGAGAGTTGGAATGGCACCAAATCCTTGCCAATTTGATATAATAATAACAGTAACAGAGTTGGAGGTCATCTAGTCCAACCCCCTGCTCACACAGGAGACCTATACTAGGGATTTGAACTACTGATCTTTCTGATCAACAAGCTCAGCGTCTTAGCCACTGGGCTAAGTCTATTAGAGTCTATTTATCAGAGTCTAATAAATAAACTCTAATGGAAAATGGATGCCTTGGATTTTATTTCATGGGACATGTTACTTGGAAGCTTGACACCCTTTAGTTGTATGTTTAGCTGCATTGGGGTCATAACCAATAAAAGATATATCAATATTCTCTTCTTGTATTATTAGTCTCGTGACATTACAGAACAGAGATTCTGCGGTCTTGAAATGATTTGATTTGTTTGCTATTCACACTATTGTGGGCTAGAGAATGTGGATGGATGGGTGTATGTATGTACAGATGGATGGATGGATGGATGGATGGATGGATGGATGGATGGATGGATGGACGGATGGACAGAAAGATACATATTAGTCAATTCTTCTTTTGAAGATGATGGAGCACTTACTGTCATGCCATATCGAGGGATGCTGAAGTACTGGAGCCAAGAAAGCCACGACAGAATACTGGTGAGATTTACCAACAACCCGGAGAAAATCTGAAGATCAAATCAAAGATGCAAAATTAATTTAAAAAAGGAATGTAATTTTTGAAACTATAATCAATAAATGATCAAACATCTCCTGGAATGTTACACGACTGTTTTATTTTCTCAACTAAATCCTTGCGCTTCATTCTGCGTGTGGTATCGTCTGTATCCCATCTTGGTTTTTCAAACTATTTATCATTAAACTAGTGGTAAGAGAAATGCCCATATTTGGGCCTATTGACTGAATGTTGATGTGTAACCTACACAGCCTGAACCTGAACAGCATTATGTGGGATAGGGATGATAATAGGGAGGGGGACAAGCGAATGGTTAGGGTTAGTCAATAGGGAAGTCATAATCATGCAATGGAAACACCATCTTCTTATGGGTGTTGTTGCAACAAATTCCAAAGGAAGAGGATTTGATTCCATGGCTGTAGTGGTGTAGAAAGTTAGCACCCACCCCCTCCTAGAAAAATGAAATGTTTTAGGAAATATTAAAAAGCAGAATATTATACCTCCCTGGATGAGAAATGGAGAGACATGTTTTTTAGGCAGGAAGCAGACTCACTCTTAATACCCCCCAACCTCCTCAATAGCTCACAACAGATGTCCGCACTTAAGAGATAAAGAGATAGTTAGGTCTATTCATAGGTACATGCCCTCACCCAAAATCCAACAAAGGTAGAATTAGCCCTCTATCCATCTAGCAACAGAACTCACCACATGGCACTTGGGAAGATTACATCACCCAGCAAGGCTCAACCAAGCTTGGGACTCAAAAGACAACCTACAAAGTTACCCCTGAATGGCCCCATGGGAGTCTGACAACCAATCAGAATACAAGATCAAATTCAAAAGCCCAACAGAGGTCATAAATCTCTCTCTCTCTCTCTCTCTCTCTCTTTCTCTCTCTCTCTCTCTCCTTCCCTCCCTCCCTCCCTCCCTCCCTCAAAACCATGTGGTCCTGTCCACCATTAAACCCCATCTTTTCAAGCAGTCTCCATGTTTCCAGTGTCTTTCTCCCCACTTGGAACTGAACCCAGATGGACCTTTCTCCCAATGGTGGTTGACAATTTTTTTGACCCCTTGGCTACCTCTGAAGTTGGACAAAGTAGCCTTAATGAGACATCCGTTCAAGGTACTCACGATCATAAAAACAAAGCTGATTGTCATCAGAAGATTGGCGACAGCCATCACATCGTGTCCTGTAGCAATAGCAAGTGCCATAGAGGTTGCAGTGTATGACACCATCATCAAAGTGAACATCATTATAAAGAAAGCCTCTACGGTGGGTTTCAGGCCTTGAGAACAAGAAAAGCAGGATGGGAAAGTCAATCCTATTATATTGCCAAACATTATTTTACCTTGAGGATTAGATTTTTTTTTATTTTTTGGGTTACATAACTCATTCCGATTTGCATAAAGATGCCTTTTAATTTTTATAACGTCTACCATATAGTTTTATAGTTTAGTTTTATAACATCTATACACGAAAGATTTGTTTGCAGATATATATTTTTTCCAGATAGACAAAAGATGATAAACTTACCTAACATGAAATAAACTATGCAGGTGAAAATTATGCTGGGCAAAGTCCTCATGGGTATTAAATCAGCCATTAGTTTAGAGAAGAAGTATGCAGAAATTCGATAGTATCCACTGATATATTCATGTCTATAACAAAACAGTCCCCCAGAAAATCAGAGGCTCAATTAAATTTCACTCATTAAAAATATACACGTGTCATGAATTGCAGCAGAATGACCGTTCCTTGGAAATTATCCTGACTGGAATAATTGCATTTGCAAAAGTTCTACAGTTTTTAATTTGACCTCTTACAATAAGTGTACACAGTACACTGAATAATAATGTAACTACTGTTTATGGAATAAATCGCAAGCTGTATTCACACTCTGTACATAAAACCTAGCTCAGCATTTCAAATCTCTATGGCTGAGATCACAAACTAGATAAAATAAGTAACAGTAACAGAGTTGGAAGGGACCTCAGAGGTCATCTAGTCCAACCCCCTGCTCACACAGGAGACCTGTACTAGGGATTCGAACCGCTGAACTACTGACCTTTCTGATCGACAAGCTCAGTGTCTAAGGTTATAGTCAATAAAGCAATAAAGCAATCAAAAAATAAATATCACATTTTGATATATCCTAATATCAATATGTATTCTAATCACAAATTCTCATTCTCAGAATATACATATTTATTTCTGCAAAAACTGTGATTCCTTGTAATTTAAGACATTTCATATTTTCCCCTGTATATTTTTAAAATTACAGATTAAAGCCAGCATTCCAAACTTATTTAGCCAGACCTTTTGTTTCAGGAAAACTTAGCTTGTTTTTTTATCTCTTGCATTTTTTTTTTTAATTTGATTTATATGCCGCCCTTCTCCGAAGACTCAGGGCGGCTTACAATGTGCTCAGCAATAGCCTTCATCCTTTTGTATATTTATACAAAGTCAGCTTATTGCCCCCACAACTGGGTCCTCATTTCACCTACCTTAGAAAGGATGGAAGGCTGAGTCAACCTTGAGCCTTGGCGAGATTCGAACCCTGCAGTAATTGCAGGCAGCTGGTCTTAATAAGCTTAATAACAGGGTGCCTTAAACCCCTGTACTACCAAGGCATATCGGTTATGCTTGCCAATTTGTTTTTAATGAATGTTTTTAATGTTCTTTTGTCTCTCCATGGAGCTGTGGTGGCTCAATGGTTAGAATGCAGTATTGCAGGCTAATTCTGCCGATTGCCAACAGTTTGATCCTGCCAGCAGTTCAATCCTGACTGGCTCAAGGTCGATTCATCCTTCCACCCTTCCGAGGTCGGTAAAATGTGGACCCAGATTGTTGGGGGCAATAGGCTGACTCTGTAAACCGCTTAGAGAAGGATGTAAAGCACTGTGAAGCAGTATATAAGTCTAAGTGCCATTGCACATTGTACTACCCAGAATCATGAAGTAGGTAGCATTCTTAATAATTATCACAGATTAAAGCTACAAATAGTCATACAAACATAAGCTTATCTAATAGGCACAGAGAAGAAGAACCTTGGTGGCGCAGTGGACTAAAGTGCTATTAAGTAGCACCAGCTGCCTGCAATTACTGCAAGTTCAAATCTCACCAGGCTCAAGGTTGACTCAGCCTGCCATCTTTTCGAGGTAGGTAAAATGAGGACCCGGATTGTGGGGGCAATAAGATGACTTTGTATAAAAAAGAACGCCGCTTAGGGGGGGCCGAAAGCCCTACTAAGCAGGTATATACAAAAGTATGAAGGCTATTGCTTAACGCATTGTAAGCCGCCCTGAGTCTCCGGAGAAGGGCGGCATATAAATCAAACCAATAAATAAATAAATAAATAAACATTATGACCATTATCTTGAGTTTTCAGATTGCCATATAGACACACACACACACACACACACACCACAATGAGGTTCAAATTTACACACTCCTTGAGGCCTAGAATGATCTTATCAACTCCAAGGAGACAATATTGCAAGTGAAGAGCTAATAGATTAAAAGATTTATCACCAAATAAAGAATTCTTTTAGATGTTCATCACCTATTATTATTTCTATTTTGTCTAGGAAGGCTTACTTACATAAATATTTTCTTCTCTACCACAAAGAGTTCAATTGCTGAAATGCTGCTGAAACACTGATTAGTAGTCATAAAGAACATGGCACCAATTCTAGGGGAAAAAAACACAGATTGTCATTGTGAGAAACTAGTCTTTTCAAACGGCTTTTAAAAAGAAATAAGTCAGCCCCAGTGCTCCTAGGTTTTATTTTCTTAGCAAAAAAATGTTCTGTCACTTGTGTTCTAGAAGGTGAATACTAGATCAAAGAGAATGGTTTGGAAAAGGAAGTTTCACTGGATCTACAAAAGAAACTGGATGAGGTTTTAAAGTTTAAAAGGGAAATACAAACGATAAACCAAGAGAGTGACTTGACTATTTTTTTTCCCCTTAAAAAGTTGTCAAAAAAGGAACAAAAAATCTTGCTTTAATCTTGATTTTAAAAATACATGTTTTATCAAAATTAAAATAAGAAAAGTTATTACTTCTGGTAACTTGTTATGTCAGTTTTGTGTGGGTGGTGTTTTTTGGCTTTATAAACTGTTAAACAGTAAAAGTGGCAGATATCACCCTCTTTTATGAAAAGCACAGCCTATTTTCATATTTCTAGCCTTTTTCATAGCAGAATTGAAGCGCTATCTCCAAAATATAATTTGGATAATGACGCCATTATGCAAAAACACGTACTATGCATAGTGATAAATATCACACAAAATAGTGGAAGCCTCTCCACTTCCCCATACATTTTTGTGTAATAAACACTTTCAATCTGTCAAAATAAGGCTTCACTTTATTTCAAGTTATCCTTGTTGGAATTTGCACTCAAAACAAATACGGTATCACTCATTTAATCACCTTTTTATCCCCAAAGGACTCACCTATTTTGCAAACCTTTGCCATCATTTGTTACACCAAAGAATATGGCACCCACGACTAATCCCAGGAAAATTGTAACCAATAACTGAAATATAAATATGTCATATTATGCTCAGTTGTATATCATCATGGTTCACAAATTGACATCATAAAAACCAAAGACAATTTTTTGCTTATTTTTCTTCCCCAAATAACCTTCATTCATTCTTTTAAAAATCAAAGCCATCGTGCTATAAAAAACAAATTTTCCAGTCATCATTACTAACCGTGTTCAATTTAACATAAGATAAGATAGCCTTTATTGTCATTTTTTTTACTGTAAGCACACTGGCATACATTAAAAATGAAATTCTGTTGCCTGCTCTCAAAAGAAAGTTTATACAGTATCTACCTATACCAGGGGTGGGCAACTGTGGCCCTTTTACAACCTGTGGACTTCAACTCCCAGAATTCCTGAGACA